CCCCGTGGTGTAGGTGAGATCATGACCCAGGGAGACCGCTGAACCGCAAATATGGTTTGTTTTATTGAAATTGAGCTTTGGATTTACAAAATTGGCTACAGAATATTTCTAATTTTCTGGGTCTGGGTAAGAAAATTGAAGATTTTTAGTCAATTTTGTGATGTATATTCTTCATTATAGTGACAGTCTTTGTCATATAAAACGTTAGCAGATCAGATTACGCAGCAAATGACATCTTAAACTTTACGAGGGAGCATTGATCTTCAAACTAATATTCCGACGCAAATGGAATTGTTGATGCTCAACAACAATCAAAAATTAATATTATATAAGGAAATTTAATTGAAAAAATATGAACTCTAGCAAATAAAGGCGATACATAGTGTGCCGAAAAAAAGTAATTCGTAAATACAAAACTCAAGTCAGAAATACTAAAATCTTGATAGAGGAGTAAATGGCCAACCGGTTCATTTTGGCGGCTTATAAGCCACAAAATTTGATCTTTTACCCCCTTATGTTTTAAAGAAAATTTCAAGCACTATTCGTCTATCCATGTTCTTTTTAATTATTTTGACAATAAAAATGAAGTATAAGTCACTCATTTATTAGACACTCTATTATTAAAAATTAATTATAATCTACTAAATTTACTAAATACTTAAAAGGGGTTTTTTGTCTTTTAACCTAGAGTTTTACCCCAACTTATTTAAAAACCCACCAATTTTCATGAACGCTTATAAACCCAACATATCTCAAACCACTTATTTATAAACCCAATCTGTACAATACCCTCAATCATTATATTGCATTTCTCCAATAAATACAAAATTCCAAATTTAACATTCTTCCCCAAATAAACCTATCTCTCTCTTTTCTTCCTTCATTTCACAAAATCAAAATCTAGCGACGAGTGGCGGAGTGGAGAGGAAACATGAAAAATCTGTCCTCGAAAGGGCTGTAGCAAGTTGAGTAATGTGAGGAAAAGATTGATGAAATGTTGATGTTTTCTTGTTGTTGGCACCAAACACATATTTAGGTGGGTTTTGTTTTTCTACGAGGCAAAGGATCTCTGTTAGGTGTTGCCTATGAGCTATAAGTAAAATGGGTGGTAGTTGAAATTTGTTTGCTTTTTGCTCCTCCCTTTACTCTGTGCATGAATTCTTTTATACTCTCTCATCGCCCCCACTCCCCAGTCTCTAGTATGCGCTAGGTCAAAGTGATGAGCATGATTTCTTCAGAGCTAATCAAGCTGTAGACTTGGAGACGTTGGCATCTTTCCTCTCCACCGAGCCCCAAATGCTCCGGCGAACCACCGTCTTCGACCGCTTCTTCGCCAAAATATCGCTCTTTATGACCATAGTATAGCTTTTACTGATAAAATATAGTTCTTTATGGTCTCTAGAAATTCTAAAACTTAGTAGAATAAATCAAATCAGTTTTTTCTGAGCAATGTAAACATGTGATGATGTATATAATATGTTATTTGATCAATTATTCATGTCGATGAGAGGTTCACTCTTAATTTTTTAGTTTTTTAGAAAAGTATAGGTCTTTATAGTATAGCTTAGCATATTATCATGAAAGTATAGCTCTTTATGCCAAATTATAGCTCTTTATGACCATAATGTAGTTCCTTACTGATAAAGTATAGTTTTTTATGATCTCCGAAAATTCTGAAACTTAGCGGTAAATCAAATCGGTTTTTTCCTGAGTAATGTAAACGTGTGATGACCTAGACAATGCATTGTTTGATCAATTATTCATGTCCATGAGAGATTCACTCTTAATTTTCTAGTTTTTAGAAAAGTATAACTCCTTATAATAAAGTGTACCACCTTATTACGAAAGTATAGCGCTTTATACTAATGTATAGCTCTTTATGACTATAGTATAGCTCTTTACTGATAAAATATAGCTCTTATTATGGTCTATGAAAATTTTAAAACTTAGTGGTAAATCAAATCCTTTTTGAAAAAGTATAGCTCTTTCTAGTAAAGTGTAGCATATTTTCTTGAAAGTATAGCTCTTTATGGCAAAGTATAGTTCTTTACGACCATAGCATAGCACTTTACTGATAAAATATAGCTCTTTATGATCTTTGAAAATTCTGAAACTTAGTGGTAAATCAAATCAGTTTTGTTTGATTAATTATTCATGTCGACAAGAGGTCCGCTCTCAATTTTCTAGTTTTTAGAAATTTATAGCTCTTTTTATACTAAAGTGTAGCACATTATCATGAAAATATAGCTCTTTATGCCAAAATATAGCTCTTTGTGACCATAGTAGAGCTCTTTACTAAGTATAGCTCTTTATGGTCTCTAAAAATTCTAAAATTTAGTAGAATAAGTCAAATCAGTTTTTTGTGAGGAATGTAAACATGTGATGATGTATACAATGTGTTATTTGATTAATTATTCATGTCGACGAGAGATCCACTCACAATTATCTAGTTATTTAAAAAAAATATAGCTCTTTATAGTAAAGTGTGGCACCTTATCATGAATGTATAGCTATTTATACCAAAATATAACTCTTTATAACCATAGTGTAGCTCTTTATGGTCTCTGGAGATTCTAAAACATAGTAGAATAAATTAAATTAGTTTTTTCTAAGCAATGTAAATGTGTGATGACGTATACAATATATTGTTTGATCAGTTATTCATGTCGACGAGAGGTCCACTATTAATTTTTCAGTTTTTAGAAAAGTATAGCTCTTTATACTAAAGTGTAGCATCTTATATGGCTATTTATGCCAAAGTATAGTTCTTTATGACCATAGTAGAGCTCTTTACTGATAAAGTATAGTCTTTTATGGTCTCTGAAAATTCTAAAACTTAGTAGAATAGATCAAATCAGTTTTTTTGAGGAATGTAAACACGTGATGGTGTATACAATGTGTGTTTATGATGCGGCATAAACATGTACCAAAAAGGTTGCAAGTGCACAACCGTGTCAAGTTATAGTATTTAAGATATCAATCCCACGAGGAAGGTGTTTTGTAGGAGAAAATATAAAATCGGTTCTTATGTTGTGTGTGTGACAAATAGGAGTGATGAGTGAATGTGATTGTGGAGAGATAGAGAGAGTGGAAGTGATAGTGTGTAAATCGGCACGAAATATAAGTGAGAGTGGATGTGACAAAGAATGAATATGATCAATAAGGCAAGAAGGAAAAAGAAAATAAAAATCAAGAATAAAGAAAATAAAATTCAAGAATAAAAGAAAATGCAAGAAATTAAAGATGGTGGATTCAATTATAGATATGGGTAATCTAAAATTGAACCCACTTCTTAGAAAAGGGTGATTCCCTAGAGGGTTCTAGCCTAAAGGCGAATCAACAAAATAAAAATAAAAAAATAAACCCAAGAGGGTTCTAGCCTCAAGGTGAATAGTGCAAGAAATTAAAATCTAACTATAAAGTAAATTGCAAAATCTAATTACAAAATAAAATTGCAAGAATTAAATGCAAGAAAATAAATCTACTCTATAAGCATGAAATAAATCTAAGGCAAGAGGGTTCTAGCCTCTTGGCTATTTAACAAGAAAAATAAAATCTAATTACAAGCATGAAAATAAATCAACTAATAAGCAATAAAAAAGAAATAAAAGAGAAAAAGGAAAGAAATGCAAACCTTCAAATTTCATCTTCATCTTCATCATCCAACAAAGAGAAGAAGAGAAAAATTTAAAGTGGTGAAAAAATTATTATTATTAATTGCAACTAAAGTTACAATTTTTGGAAGGCCTTCTCAATTAAGAGTAGCCCTCCTCTCCAAAAGGAGTTTACAAAATTTTCACACCTCTAACCCCTCACTCTCTACCCCTATTTATAGTAATCTTCAATGAATATGAGCCATTGGATTTGTCTTGAGCCCCAAGCAACAATCTCCACCATTGAATTTGCTTTTTGTTCTTCTCTACCATAAGAGGCCCAATTGATTTATCAAAATCCAATTACAAAAACCAAGTCCGGTCCAATTTTGAAAATCTGCAACAAAGCCAAATGTGGCCCACTTTTATTTTCAAAACAAAGCATTTTTTTGAGGTCCGGCCCATGTGTTGGAGTTTCAGCAACTTGTGATCTTTTAAAATGCAAATGGCTAAACAAATATATCCGGCCCATTTGATTCAACTCTCAACAAATCCGGTCCATATGCCCAAGTCCACATTTCATTTTGCTTTTGAAATCAAAAGCCAAGTCTTCAAAAAGTTGTCCGGTCCAATAAGCAATCCGGCCC